TTTTTTTTTTTTTTTTTTTTTATTACGAATACGAAGATTCTTCTTCTCTCTCTCGTTAAGGTCAAGAAACTTTGATGGAATGTAAGTAATGATATATCGGTTTAAATGTTACGACGATTAATTTTTTGGGAAATTTTAATAAGAAAAATTTTAATAGAATAATGAAATAATTTTGAATTTCTTTTTTTTTTTAATGCTGGACCGTGAGTTTGCGAAGGGAGGGGGATAAAAAATTGGAATCGAGAGGGAGATAATTGATAAGAAGCGGCGGCGAAAGTGATTCTGACAAGAGTGGTCGAGAGGCTGGACCATTCGACAAGTGGGGAGATCTGAATCTGGATTGGTTGTGATCCAAAGGCCAATAAGAGACGAGGGATCACGCTTGCGCAGCATCCGGAAATCTCTTCAACATTCATCTCTGCAACAATTGAATAATTCAATTGTAAAATTAAATAAACGTAAGTAATCGTAAAAATAGCTTTGCTATCAAGAAATTTATACAGTTCATGATCGATAACAATATCAATTTCCACTGACTGATTTTTCTATTTTAATTACACTATAATATATATTTTTAATAAAAAAAGAATATACCTTACAAAAATATCCATCTTCGATATCTTTTCTTACTCTAAAAGAATGCTTATCTTTCTTCAACCACCTTCGATAATCATCAAAATCCTTCAAAAGGATTCCTTCAAACATTTTCTCCAAAGAGAAGATAACTAAAATTTGCTAAAACAATTAAAAAAAACAATTAAAAATACAATAAAAAATAACAACATGAAAAAAAAAACTCCAAAATTAAATCTTCTCGATTCCTCTTCGCGATTCGCAAATTGCATCTTTCCTCTCGAGGAAAAGGGCAAGGGGAGAAGAAGGAGAAGAAAAAAAAAAGGGTCATCCGGGAAGGGAGAACCGGACGAGGACTTGGGCGAGGAAGAAAGGTTGGCCAAGGGGCCAAGATCCAAGGATCGTAGGGTCATATACCTGCACGAGCCCAACGTCGTCCACTACCTGTTCGACGAAGAGCGTGCGTGTGGAAAACCTGATTCTCGCCCCCTTCCCTCCGTTGGGGGACTCGATGATCCGGCGCGAGGGGCGCAGGTCAGAAGAGAATCCGAAGGGTGAAACGTTGCGCAGGTACACGAACCCTTTTCCACAAGGATCCGTAATCTAAATATGCCCTTATTTCGCGCTATAACCCTTTCCCTTCGGATGTCGAAAAATATCTTTCGACTAAAACAGTGTCATCCTCGAAGCTCCGATTGGACGATTCCACGTGGTGGAAAGGAAGAGTGTGAGGAAGGCTCCAACATTTGGAAACGGGTCTCTGGAAGGGAGGAGGGAAGAAGATGGGCAGTGGACTGGAGAACCGTTGACCGTTCGCGAGGAAAGAAGGCGAGAGAAGAGAAACGATCTATTTCGGATCGACGATGAATCAATTTCTTTAATCGATTAATTTGGAAGAAGGAAATCGTAATTAAATGAAAGTCCCTTCTGGGGGATTAAATAATTTGTATCTTGTTTTGTACTCTGGTTTTCTTTAGAAATATGGAAATATTGGAAAGATTTCTTTAATCGATTAATTTGGAAGGAGGAAATCGTAATTAAATGATAGTCTCTTCTGGTGATTAAATAATTTGTATCTTGTTTTGTATTCTGGTTTTCTTTAGAAATATGGAAATATTGGAAAGATAATAATCACTTTAATCAATAAGATACAATATAATTTTGCTTTCTTGCAGATCTTGATGATCCAGATTTTGATTCGACAAAGAGATTGAAGGAAACTTTAATTATTCCTTTAAATAAAATATGAGTGAAAGATTATATGAAATAAAGAGAGAGATTTTTCTTACAATATAATCTAGATGAATAACAAAATTTTAAGAAGAATAATGAATCTTTAAAGAATTATTTTCTTTCTCGAGAGACATGTCGGAATAAAATTAAAGATCACGTTAAAAAAAAAAGAATTATACACCGATGATGAAGTATTTCTGTCAGTTTTAAAAAAGAAAAGAAAAAACATGA